TCCCAGAAATAGGTATAAACACGGGACGGCCGTCCCATGAAAAGTAGTGAGGCAGAACACTCGGACGGCCGTCCGAAAAAATATGCTTAAACGTGGGACGGCCGTCCGAGGCTATAATTGGGCGTTATAAATTTCTAAAAATCAGATTTTCTCCCCCAATTATTTCCTAAACCCTTCCCTTTCTTTCTCTCAACCTCCCACATACTACTTTTCGAATTTTTGAATTTTTCTTCCGAAAATTCTTCAATTTCACACACATAATTCACTCACGCACTCTCCAATTCTTATTTTGTGCTGGTATTGACAGGGAGCCTAGAGCATCGAACCAAATTCTTCAAAATCTACTCTTTCAAGGCACATCCACAAGGTGTTCAACAATTTACCTCAACCAAATTTGGGGGTCGATTCTCGTCCAATTCTTACCGCATCAATTCCAAAAGTTCTCCCAAGTATGTCGTCCAACAAAAGAGGTCGCACGGATGAAGCTTCATCTTCCAAAAGCAAATGAAAAGGCAAGAAAGGTGCCACCAAAACGACGATCCATTTTCCCGAAAAAGAAGCCTTTAGTGTGGAAGGCGCCGCGGCTCTATTTACTAAACAAGGCAAAAAGACCGCCATCATGGAACGGGCCTTGACAATCACGTTGTCACACTTAGCCAATCTTAAGCAAGAAATCATAAGACGAGGATGGCAAAGGCTTTGTGAACCGGAGCCAATTTACAACATATCGATCGTACGAGAGTTTTATGCGAACACGTTGGTACTCAAGCATCCACGAGAATTCACAAGTGTGGTACGAAAAATTTATGTTAGTTGGGAGACGGATGATATAAATCGATATTACGGGCTCCCGTGTTTGGGTCAAAGTTGGCGAGAGATGAGCAACGAAATAACCAAAGACCAAATTGGTGAAGTGTTGAGTGATGGACATCCAAGATGGATTGAATACCCGGACAAGGGGCCGTACGAACTCGGTTGGAAAAGCGTCAATTATGAAGGCAAGGCGTGGTTGACGTTCATTTGCGCCAACATAATCCCGACTACCTCGTTTAGTCGGATCAAACACGAACGGTGTGCGCTCGCTTATTACATTATCACGGGGAAGCCGATCGACATCGGGCCAATTATGTCCGATCAACTTTGGCTTTCCATGCGCAACAATACAAAGGGCATCTTCTTCCCTAGCCTCGTAACGGGGTTGTGCAAAAGAAAGAGGGTCCCCAAATTACCAAAGGATATCGAGCTCAACATCCGGAAGCCGATTGCCGATTTTACGGCCTCGCTATTCAAAGAAGCCACCCATGACGAGCCGCAAGCCGCTCTTCCAGCACGAGACGAGCCCGAAGCCTCAAGCTCCCGTGCCGATCGACGATTCCGAAAGAAGATGGAGAGAGAGATGATAATTACGAGGAATCGATTGACTACCGTCGAGCATAAAGTCAATACGGTGGAGGCACTTCAACGGTGGTCGAGCAAAATGCTACAAGCTATTGTCCAACACTTGGGATGCGGGACGCCCGATTGCATCGAGCCGGCACCTTTACCGGCACCCATTCTTGAGCCCGTACCCGAGCTTTCCGATGAGGACGAGCGTGAGAGAGCGCGGGCGGAGCACCCCGATCACATCGACTCGAACTAAATCAGGTGTTTTCTATCCTTAAACTTTGTGCTAAATTCGTTGAGGGCAACGAAAATTTTAAGTTTGGGGGTGAAAAACATGTTATTTTTGTGCTTATTTGTTTTAGTGTGCATGCATTAGGTTTTATTCGTTTTTATTGTTTTTCTCGTTTTTCTGGAATATTAAAAAAAAAATGCTTGAGTCGAATGCATCGATGATTTATGATGATGAGAGATGATCAATGTTTGATGATGAGATTGCTTGTTTTGTGTGATAAGGATTAGATGTTTGTTTAGCTTTCGATTCAACGGAACATAGAAACGAATTATTGCTAGGAATCACACTTTGTGCATTGCTTTGGTTGAATGTTTTGTATTTTAAATTTGGAATTAATTTGTGCTAGATCATGCTATGTTCGGTTTTAGAACTCACCTTAGGAAATTTATGATACGAAGTATTGAGTAGTGAGTGATTTGGGATATGATTTGGGCCTTCTTTGAACCGTTTGAGCCTTTCAAGCCGACTTTTTTATCGAAATTATCCTTAGAACCTTGATTTGAGCATCGGAGAAAAGGTGTTCTTTCTTTTAGCCAACGTGTAAGGTAGAATAGGTGGAGATTCTTGAAAATTCACCCCTTAGAGTTCGGGCGAAAATTTTTATAAGGTCCTTCTTCGAAAAAAAAAATATAAGGAAGAAGAAGAGACTAGAAGGGAGAAATAAGGACTAGTTTGTGAATTGTTTTGAAAGCTCGATCAATTGTCTTAAGAGCAAAAGTGGAAACTTTTGAACTCTTAAGAATCGAGTTTATTAAAATCCGTAGAGGTGAATTCATTGTTCAAACACCTATCTTTCAAATTTTGGCGTAATCACCTAAATTCAAGAAGAATAGCCACATATACCCATATTTCCAACCTCGAACCAAAGAGCCTAACAATTGAAAGCCACAAAGCCCCAATGATCTCAATAGCTTAATGTTCGATATTAGTAGAGTAGAATAATTTGGTGAGTATTTGGAGTCAAGCATTTGCATGTAAGTATAAATTCTTTCTATCTTTAATTTGCAAATATTGGATGCTTGAAGCAATTGTATGAATTGTGGCTTTTGGTAATGGTGAGTGACTAAGTGTTGTTGAATTTTGAGCTTGCGAATGCCTAAGAATTGTCATTATAAATACAAGTTCTGAAAACGTGAAGTTTATTATTTTTTTTAGCTCTTTCTCCAAAAACTTGTTGGTTGTAATACCTACACGCAAGTGCACGTATCGAAGAATTTGAAGACTCTAAGCATAGATTTATCGTTTATGACTTATTTCATTTGTGTTTTTCCTTTAATCATGAGTAGCTAATTTTCTTATTTCTAGGATTTTATTTGGAACCCTATGCGGGATTTATGAACCCAATTCTATGATTTTATGCAAGTTTTAATTCCGGATTATTTCTTCTACTTGTTTTATTAAGTTGATGAAACTGACCACTTTATGCGCTTTTATGTTATTGTTAATCGCATGAATCGGAAGATCGGTTTAATAATTAGAACTGTGGTCGAAGAGCCTTTGTGGTATTAACATAGGAATATAGTTAATCTCTTAGGTATCCATTATTGAGATTTGTGCTTAATGCACTGTTCTAGAATTAATTGCATAGGAATATAGTAATTGAATCTAGAGTATTAGAATCGTAATACACGCGGAAGCGGGTTACGATTATTTTAGCATCTCAGGTTAATAATCCGGGTTAATTGCTTGCATAATTGAAGGAATTGGGGGAAATAATAATCTCATAGGGGGAAGAATAAAATCCTAGGCTTGCTTACTCTGATAAATCTTCGTGCATAATTTGTTTCTTGCTTGTCTTTTTAATTGCTTTAGTTTAATTTAGTTTATTAATCATCTTTCGACTGTGTAGGGTGGGCTTGATAGCGATTGGTAGAATTTAGCGTCTAGGATTAGATAATTAAATATTCCATGTGGGTTCGATATACCGACTTTTAGTCCACTATATTACTTGTACGATACGTGCACTTGCGTGTAGGTATTACAACCAACAAGTTTTTTGGAGAAAGAGCTAAAAAAAAATAATAAAATTCACGTTTTCAGAACTTGTAATTATAATGACAATTCTTAGGCATTCGCAAGCTCAAAATTCAACAACACTTAGTCACTCACCATTACCAAAAACCACAATTCATACAGTTGCTTTAAGCATCCAATATTTGCAAATTAAAGATAGAAAGAATGTATACTTACATGCATATACTTGACTCCAAATACTCACCAAATTATTCTACTCTACTAATATCGAACATTAAGCTGTTGGGATCATTGGGGCTTTGTGGCTTTCAATTGTTAGGCTCTTTGGTTCGAGGTAGGAAATATGGGTATATGTGGCTATTCTTCTTGAATTTAGGTGATTACGCCAAAATTTGAAAGATAGGCGTTTGAAACAATGAATTCACATCTACGGACTTTAATAAACTCGATTCTCAAAAGTTCAAAAGTCTCCACTTTTGCTTTTGAGGCAATGGATCGAGTTTTCCAAAAATAAATCAACAACTAGTCCTTATTTCTCCCTTCTAGTCTCTTCTTCTTCTCTTTTTCTCTTTTTTTTTCTTTATATATATATATATATATATATATATATATATATATATATATATATATATATATATATATATATATAGAAGCATAGATATTTGTCTTCTTTTCGTTTCTTTTTTTTTTTTTTTTGTTTTTTTTTATTCGAAGAAGAAGAAGGACGTTATAAAAATTTTCAACCGAACTCCAAGGGATAATTTTTTCAAGAATCTCCACCTGTTGTACCTTTCACATTGGTTAAAAGAAAGAACACCTTGTCTTCGAGGCTCAAAACAAGGTTCTAAGGATAATTTCGATAAAAAGGTCGGGTTGAAAGGCTCAAACGGTTCAAAGAAGGCCCAAATCATATCCCAAATCACTCACTACTCAATACTTGGTATCATAAATTTCCTAAGGTGAGTTCTAAACCGAACAGAGCATGATCTAGCACAAATTAATTCCAAATTTAAAATACAAAACATTCAACCAAAGCAATGCACAAAATGTGATTCCTAGCAATAATTCGTTTCTAAGTTCCGTTGAATCGAAAGCTAAACAAACATCTAATCCTTATCACACAAAACAAGCAATCTCATCATCAAACATTGATCATCTCTCATCATCATAAATCATCGATGCATTCGACTCAAGCAAATTTTTTTTTTATATATTCTGGAAAAACGAGAAAAACAATAAAAACGAATAAAACCTAATGCATGAAAACTAAAACAAATAAGCACAAAAATAACATGTTTTTCACCCCCAAACTTAAAATTTTCGTTGCCCTCAACGAATTTCGCACAAAGTTTAAGGATAGAAAACACCTGATTTAGTCGGAGTCGATGTGATCGGGGTGCTCCGCCCGCGCTCTCTCACGCTCGTCCTCATCGGAAAGCTCGGGTACGGGCTCTAGAATGGGTGCCGGTAAAGGTGCCGGCTCGATGCAATCGGGCGTCCCGCATCCCAAGTGTTGGACTATAGCTTGTAGCATTTTGCTCGACCACCATTGAAGTGCCTCCACCGTATTGACTTTATGCTCGCCGGTAGTCAATCGATTCCTCGTAATTATCATCTCTCTCTCCATCTTATTTCGGAATCGTCGATCGGCATGGGAGCTTGAGGCTTCGGGCTCGTCTCGGGCTGGAAGAGCGGCTTGCGGCTCGTCATGGGTGGCTTCTTTGAATAGCGAGGCCGTAAAATCGGCAATCGGCTTCCGGATGTTGAGCTCAATATCGTTTGATAATTTGGGGACCCTCTTTCTTTTGCACAACCCCGTTACGAGGCTAGGGAAGAAGATGTCCTTTGTATTGTCGCGCATGGAAAGCCAAAGTTGATCGGACATAATTGACCCGATGTCGATCGGCTTCCCCGTGATAATGTAATAAGCGAGCGCACACCGTTCGTGGTTGATCCGACTAAACGAGGTAGTCGGGATTATGTTGGCGCAAATAAACGTCAACCACGCCTTGCCTTCATAATTGATGCTTTTCCAATTGAGTTCGTACGTCCCCTTGTCCGGGTATTCAATCCATCTTGGATGTCCATCACTCAACACTTCACCAATTTGGCATTTGGTGACTTCGTTGCTCATCTCTCGCCAACTTTGACCCAAACACGGGAGCCCGTAATATCGATTTATATCATCCATCTCTCAACTAACATAAATTTTTCGTACCACACTTGTGAATTCTCGTGGATACTTGAGTACCAACGTGTTCGCATAAAACTCTCGTACGATCGATATGTTGTAAATTGGCTCCGGTTCACAAAGCATTTACCATCTTCGTCTTATGATTTCTTGGTTAAGATTGGCTAAGTGTGGCAGCGTGATTGTCAAGGCCCGTTCCGTGATGACGGTCTTTTTGCCTTGTTTAGTAAATAGAGTCGCGGCGCCTTCCACACTAAAGGCTTCTTTTTCGGGAAAAGGGATCGTCGTTTTGGTGGCACCTTTCTTGCCTTTTTCTTTGCTTTTGGAAGATGAAGCTTCATCCGTGCGACCTCTTTTGTTGGACGACATACTTGGGAGAACTTTTGGAATTGATGCGGTAAGGATTGGACGAGAATCAACCCCCAAATTTGGTTGAGGCAAATTGTCGAACACCTTGTGGACGTGCCTTGAAAGAGTAGATTTTGAAGAATTTGGTTCGATTCTCTAGCCTCCCTGTCAATACCAACACAAAATAAGAATTGGAGGGTGCGTGAGTGAATTATGTGTGTGAAATTTGGGGACGGCCTTCCCAACTACCCTAATGCCGTTTTTTCTTCAACTGCAAATATTGGAATTGTGCTAATTATTGATGCATACGAACAAACTTATGTGGCTGTGTAGAAAATTACTATTTATTTCAAAACAAAACAAAAAACAAAGTCGTTCGTGGAAATTATACTTGCATCGAGCTTCATGATGTCGGTGTGCAATGGGTCTTCGTTTGCGGTTAGAAACTTCTTTCCTCTTCATTCTCTTCGCCAAATATTTGCTGACGTCAATAGTGACAACTAAACTAGATCTGACTACTGGCTTTTCTAGAGAAGGATTAATGGTGGAATGGATGATTTCGGAATTAACTAGAATTGCAAGGCGTTTTTTGAAATTAATAGAGTAGTAACCTCAAACATGAAAATGGTACGGTGGTACACGATGATGAAGAGGGGAATATGGAGTTGATTTATTGGAGTTTTCTTCGGGAAGTAAGATTTTGTGTGCAAATTAGCGGAATTTTGTGCATCGTTTCTAGAGAAAGCGGAGAGACGGGATATGGGATCGATACCGTTCTAATTTGATCGAGGGTATTTTAGGTACAAAAAGTGTTGAGGGGTTATCACAAATGATTAAACTGAAATGCTATTCATAAAACGTTTTTTAGAGGCTTGCAGTGCGATCTATTTCATTTGTAACTTTCTCAAAAAAAAATGACAAATCACACGCAATTTCGTGTTATAATCTACGAAATGCAGTTAATACATTCATGTACAAATGCACGAAATATAGGTGTTTATCGGTATGGAGCATGAAAGACGAAATTGGACGATTTCATGATTTGTTTAGTTTCGTGATCAAGAACACGAAATACTAGCTGTAATTTTGAATATTATACACGAAATGGAAGCTCAAGTTTCGTAAAATACTGTACAAAACCACTAATTGTTTTTTCTATTTATCCAACTTATTTGTTAACAGTCAAATAAATACAATAAATTCACATAAATACTCTTAAACTCAAGTACTAATACAAATTGAGCTTAGACTCTCCCATAAATTTTGTCGCATTTGCCTCAAGATACTTGGTTGTGCTTTCAAGAGATCCAACTTATGGTCTGTCAGGATGGCATCAGGTTCGTCATCATCCTGGTCTGTAGGTTCGATACCATCTAACAATTCTCTCAAACAATTCAAAGTCCCCACTCGTAGGTATATGCGACATAAATACATCAACAATAATGAAATTACTCAAACTGAAGTAATTCTGATTATTTCCAAAAGTATCATTCCATTTATTTCCAAAAGTATCATTCCATACGTACCTTTAACAATTTTTTTATGCTTAATATATATAAAATGATACAAATCTAAATTGATATAGAGTATAAAAAATTAGACTTGATTTGGTGGGGTGCGCCGGGCCTATGCTGTAGTGCAACGCATGGGCGACGCTTGAAGACCCAGACAGCAAGCTGCCTTGATGAGTCTTCCCCCTTAAAAAATAAATTTAATATCGTGTGAGCCAATGGCCCACATATCAGATATTAAACTGATAAGAACAGATACTACACTTGATCTTAGCCAAAAGGCCGAGAAAGGTATGAGAATTCCAGTGTAAGGTTGTCTTCATTTATATTCATTGTCTCTGGGGCTTCTAGCTTCCACAACCGGTGTGGGATAACTTGTTCTTTTCTTCCTTATACTAATTTACCTTTTTTTGAGTAAGTACTATTTACCTAATATCTATAAAATAGAAGCTAAATTAAAGACTGGAAAAATAGTTGGTGGCAAACCAAGAATTGTACAACGCAGAGTGCATTGAGAGCACAATTCTATATTCACTTTTTTGTCATTTCTCATAGATATGTAGGTAGTAGACTTATCTTTTGCGTGACACCAATCTTCTTTTTTATGAAAACTAGATTAATTATCTGGGAAATTAGGTAATACCTCACTTCTATCAAAAAAAAAAAAAGGTAATACCTCACTAGATTGTATAATTAGAGATAAGGATAAAAACTCATTTTGGTTTCCAATAAAATCTGTACATTTAGATCCTTTAGTAATTAGTTTTTGACAAATATTTTGTTCCGCTCTATTGTAATTAGTTTTTGACAAATTTGATCTTGTGAAAATCTTAACAATTCTAATTCTCCCAAAAACCGGGTAAACAACATAGTACCTTTATGTGTTAAGACAAACATGCACCAAATCCCCGAGTTTTTTTAATCGTTTTATTACGTAAAATGCTCATATGTTTCATTTTTCCTTGCACGAAATCCTTATTTTTGTTAATAATTAACACCGTTAACTATAGAAGGTATTTTATACAAGTTTTTCTTATAATATGGAGGGATTTGGTGTTTGGTTTTGCAATACAAAGGGGTCGATGCAAAATTAATTTATTCATTTAAAATTCAAACTATTTTCTTAAACTAAGAGGGTGTTTGGTTAAGGTTATAAGATGTTAAAAAGAAATTATTAGATGTTTAAGAGGTTATAAGCTTTTTCAAAGTGTTTGATAATTTTTTTAACAAAATATTTTAATTTTTTTTTATAAGTTGTTGGAGAACAAATAAGATTTTTTTTATAAGAACCTTTACCCACCTTTTTATTTAAGATTTTTTAATGAATAAAAATAGCGAATAAGCTCATTATCCAAACACTTTAAAAATTAATTCAAAAAATAAGATGTCACAGCTTATCAGCTCTTAAAATATTTTGTCAAGCATAAGAGATTATCAGTTGTTTTAAATAAGCTTAGCCAAACGGACTTTAAGTTGAATACATTTATAAATTTTAAATTTGGAAAAAAAAAAAAAAAAAAAAAATATTCGAGATGGAAATTGGAACAAATTCTCAAAATTATTTATGTTCTTTTGACATATAACTAATCCAAAAAAATTAGAAAAATATATAATAATTCTAATAAAATAATTATATATTTTAAAAATCAAAAACTTTAAATACATTAATAAATTAAATCATATAAAAAACTTATTTAAAAAAACATTCACGACACCTATCAAAATTTCTAAATTTTATATTGTAATTAAATAAATGTGTTCGACTTAATTTAAGAAAATAATATCAATTTTAAACGAATAATTTAATTTTGCATAAAAGCCCCTTGTATTGTAGAAAATATGTATCAAATCCCCATTTATTATGAAGGAAGAAAATTGCATAAAATCCTCTCTATAGTTAATGACGTTAACTTTTAACGGAAAAAAGGAGCTTCCGTGCAAAATATAATGAAACACAAGAGAATTTTACGTAAGAAACAAAATATAGGAGAATTTGGCACAAATTTTCCTTAACATGGGATTTATGCTCTTTACCTCATAAAACCATATTATTGCCTCTAGCTCTTTCTTCAAGTTATTCTCCATGCAAAAGAGTAAAATTTATTTTCCAGTATCGTTAATAAAAATATTATATAATGAGTTTAAATATATTATTTAATGAGTTTAAATTTATTTTTTAATTAAAATTGAACTTTACGGACATATTTGTAATTTTTATAATATGACGGGTTTACCTTCAATTTAAGTGGGGCTTAATACGAATAAGTATTCTAATCTAGGTCCACCCT